CATGAACGTCTCAATGATATGATATATGCCAACGCAAACAACTGCCGATGGCCTTTGCCGAAGAAAAAAAACAAGTCACTACACTTTACAGTGTTCCTTTGTAAAGCACTTTGGGCTTTGCAATGTGGCGAGGCCCTGTGAAAATGCCAGTTCAGTCATTAATTGAAGTTAAACAATAATAATCCTTACATTTGATACAGCACCTTATCCCATCGTCGAGACGTCTCATAGCGCTTCGCAGAACATACTGTCAAGTATAGTGACTGTGTAATTTGTGAGCGAAACGAAAGCGAACATCAAAATGAGGCACGTTGCTCCTTTAAGGTGGTTCCTGCAGATCCTTAAACGCAACGTCCTTCCGGTCACCTTGATTGAGCCATTGCTCGTCTGGAGCAGATCGGCGTGTGTCTGACTAGACAGTATTTTAAACGTAAATAAATAGGGACGGCATTGAACTGTAAACCATCTGCCTCCCGATTGGGGAAGGGGCGTGGTGGATGGGTGGTGGGGCGGGGGGATGGAACTAAACAAGATATGAAATGAACACTTTAGTCTCACTGTCACCTCTCCTCTCCTCCCCCCCCCCACCCCCCCCCCCCCACACACACACACACACGCGCGGTCTGCAAACCGGTCCGTTCGTCCGTCCACCTGATTTTTATGTGCGATGCAGATTTTTGGGACAGGAAACAAATATGCTCTGATATCATAGGGTTTTGTTACACTTCAATAGTACAAAGGCCTTTGTGTTCCAACTCCTCTACAGAGTGAGCTCCTCGCCGACTATGGCTTGACCTTGGTACTCTGGCCCGCGTCCTTCGGCAGCAAATTCAATTGCAAATAAATAAATGAATAAACAAACAAACAAACAAACAGTGTGGACCATCCCGGAAACCATCACTCGCTCACCCCCGTCTCAAGACGCTAACCTACGTGGAGGGCGCTGTTGTTGTGTTGTTTTTTAACCGCGCTTTCAGGCATCCTCTGAACCACTAGGGTTTTTGGCTAAACCGAGGCAGGTTTATTAGCAAAGTCCATCCCTGCCCACAGCCCACCCTTAACCTATTGTAACTACGTACATGTGTTTTTATAGTGCCTTATCACATCAAAACACCTCAAAGAGTTTTTGCCTGAATGATTGTTGTGTGATGACTGCTTCTTTTGTGAAAGAATGTGGCAGCCATTTTGCACATGGGAACCCCACATAAAGAGCCATGAGGTGAATGACCAATTTAGTTGGAGGATTGTTGACCAGGGCACCAGGAGAACCCACTCTCCTTCCATGTCCCAAACCCAACGTGAGATCTTTAATGTCCACCTAAAGAGGCAGATGGTGTTTAAGAACTGATAAAACTACTCACTCAAAAAGAGAAGGGAGTCCCTCCCAATCTCCTGGCCAACAGTCCTGCAGGTAAATTAGCCATTCACCTTGTGGCTGTTTGCGGGACCTCTCTGTGATCAAAATGGCTGCCACGTTGGCCTACATAAATCGATCATTATAGGAAAGTGCTTTTTCAGAGCGATGAGGGGCTGTAAAAAAATGCAAGTTCTTCCTTTCTAATGCAGAGCGCTGTGACTGAGCGGAGCCTGGATCGGAAAGGCTTTGGCAAACGAACAAGCTGCTCCAAACTTAGAAATTCTAGACGCAAATCAGTCTTTGATCGTCTGCCCGTTCCATAGAAACTTCCTGCCTGCTTGTAAATCACATTCCCACCTCGCAGAGAGCACTGCTTTCCCAGCTCGGATGCCTCCCGCTGGGAAAGAACCTGATCCGTGCTCTTTCCTATGTGGCTGCTCGCTCACGGTTAGACCTGTAACTGATAGCCAGAGAGCACTACCCTGTTCAATGCGGAGACCCCAAAATGGCAGGTCACGAAACACAGTTACAACATCTCTTTACAATTACCAACTGATGGCGAGGCAAGTATTTACACTATTATTATTTGGAGTCCCGTTGCGTTGTGGTTAGCGTGCTCGCCTCTCAAGTGAAAAGACGTGGGTTCAATTCCCGGGCAAGGCCAAACCTTAGGCAAGTTTCCTTACTCCGCACGCCTCTGGTTACCTAGCAGTAAGTAGGAACCCGTTTTTTAGTTGATTGGCGAATCACTTTCCCGGGGTAATAATCTCTTCAAAAAAAATTGGTCACTCAATCCATGGCTGTTTGTGGGAGACTGCTGTGTGCTATTGGTTGCAGCATTTTGCCCAAAATACACAGTCACTACACTTGATAGTATATTCTGTGAAGCGCTTTGAGACGTCTCATCAATGTGATAAGGCACTGTACCAAATGCAAGGTTTACTATTATCTGTGACGACGTGTCCTCTTCCGAATGGACAAACCGTTAGATTTCACATCAACGCTTCCATCTTATTCCCTGTCTCAGAGAGCCCACAACATCTTCAAACACCGCATGTGAGCTAACTGACAGTCATTCGAAATGACAGAGTAAATTATTCCAATTGCACACATCGGCAGACGTAATGATGATGGCTTTATTTGGCTGCGGAGCAGATGAGTTCGCTGAAACTGACACTTTCGATTAAAGAGAATTGTCATCAGGTGCGGGAGGATCTTGGCAATAAATGGAATAGATACTCGCAGGTCGCCATTGAATTTTCTCAGCAGGTGAACTTTTAGGAGCTTCGACGGACTATAAATTATTCGAAGGTGAAGATTGAATCATTTAAATCAACAGCGCTCCCCACTAATGCTGTCATTGCAGACAATTAAAGGCAAAATACAGGGTTTTAAATGTTGGAACATTGCGTTCAGCTAAAATGAATGTTGCGCCACGTCTTACCGCTAATTCCTCACAAATGCACTCAGACCGTGCTCGCTTTTTAAGCTCTTCAATTTCTTTGGAAGAGAACTGGGTTCGAGTCTAGCCCAGAGGGCACGGGCTGAAAAAAGATTTAGGACGTAAAAGACTCCCTTAACGCAGTGTTGGGTTAGCTCACTGTCCTCTCTGTTCATCTCTGGGATTTGGGTTTGAATCCAGGACCCCTTTGAACTGATTGGATGAAAGCCTCATCAATCTATTTGTTGTCTGTAAAGGGGTTCATCTACAGTGAGTTAAGAGACAGTTTCAGTTAATCGGAGAATTGACCCAATGCTCAAAAACTGTCCTTAATTCAGCACCAGAGACCCAAGGAAATGCCACCCAGTCTGAGCCCTACGACTTCACAGTATAATAATAATAATCTTTGCATTTCATATAGCGCCTTACCACGTCATCGAGACGTCTCAAAGCGCTTCACAGACTATATTGTAAAGTGATTGATTGTGTATTTTGTGGGTGAAACGCGACAGGCAATTGTACCACATGGTTAGCAAAACCCAGCATGTTAGACTCCAGTGGATTCTGGAAGGTTTCCTTCAACTTTCTATCTTTACAGCCTGCCACCCCCCACCCCCCCCCAATATATCAGTCAGAGTTCTCAGCTTAAGTTTGGAACCTCAGCTGCCAATAGCAGCCGATAAACTAGGAGCTAAGAGTTCTCATAAGGACATCGATGAGATCATGTCCCTTAGCTCCTCCGGCCAGTTCCTCATTTCTGCCACAGTTAGTTCCTCACAGCAACACGCTCCTCATTGACGTTCTGTAATTCCTGAACCTATTTATACAACAACAGAAGCACCCGACACAGACTGGAGCAAAGCTGTAGGCCAGAGTGTTTGGCATTGACCTCAGTTATTGCTGGGAACATAGATATATTTTTCACAGAGAGAGAGAGAGAGAGAGAGAAAGAGAGAGAGGCCATTCGGCTCTGCCTGCATGTGTTACCGCTGTCCTTTTTCTCTAAGTCATCTTTTTTCATGAATCCCATTTCCATCTCTCGGCGAATGGTTAATATCTGCAACAGTTTAGCCAGGCATAAAGGACAAATTAACCCAGTTAAAATCAGCTAGTTAGAGGATCTGGCTTCCCAGAACAGCTGGTCTGTCAACCTTCTTTGGGGGGGCACGACATGATATTGTGCATGCCGGGAGAGATCCAGGACTTTTCAACAGGTCTATCAAGAGAGTTTCAAAGCACAGCCTAAAAATGAATAGGGTGGGGATAGAGTTGGAGGATGGAGGAGGAAGTGTGAGAAGGAGATAACACACACACACACTTCTGTACAGCGCCGTGTCAGGGAAACATTCACAAGGGAAGGTGGTGCACTAATTAAATTCTGTCTCTGAGGCATTAACAACAAAACCAGGCATTAAATGCTCGGGGAACACAGCCTGGGGACTCATCAATGCTGGAGATGTGCTGAAATCATTTACATTACAAGACATACATTTAAATGTCACAATCCTATACATTCCTCGACAGTTGGGCTCCCTGTAATTTCCTCTTACATGACTGTTTTGTGTGTCTCGATTATACAATTTACAACTCATATTAAACCCTGTCATTTTTTCAGCGTCGTTGTTACATTGGTATTCACACAAAGAGAATTTACATACCACAGCAGCACTAAAGAGTTGATGTGTATTTAGTCCCATTAGACGAGTTATTACCCACTTCTTTCCTTCCTCACCAGCTTCCCCACTCACCAATCACTGGCTCAGTGATCCACTTTTGCCTCTAAGCCTCCTCTGTTCCGTACCAGGACATTGGGATGAGTGGAGGAGTGGAGGGCAGTGAATAAGTCATCTCCTTTTCCATCCTTCTCTGACTAGGATGTGTCTGGCTTCAACTTGACACTTCCTTCTGCCACTGTCGGACAACCTGACTGAGATAAGACACACATTACATGTTGGCATCCTTATGCCCCATCCACCGACCCTGACCAACCCCTCTTGTCATGCATTGGCCCCCAACTTGCCAGGCCAATGCCCACACAAAGAGCTGCCAATTTGTGATCCACTTTCTGAAGGTTTGAAATTATGAATCATGTAATGTTTTTCTGTCTGAAACGAAATTGGGGGTCTGTGTGAAATGTTTAGACGTGCTGAGGGTTTTATTTGCTGGAGAGTTATATGTGGGACTTTTCTTTTCTTTTTACAGAAGGTTGGCCTGCTCCAATCTCTCTAACAGGTAAGGACCTAGTGAGAGAGTTAGAGAGGGTGACATCTGTCAGTGGGGTGAGATGGTGGTTGTGTGTTTGTGTGCTGGACGAATCATTGCCAGGGTTTGCTTAAATGGATTGGGTGGTGTGTGTGTGTGTGTGTGTGTGCGTGTGTGTGTGGGCGTATGTGTGTGTGTGCATTTCTACACGTATTTGTGTTTGTGTGTATTTAAGACTGATTTGTGTATTTAAGACCCAATGTAAAAGCTTTAGCCAACGGTGCTTAGCCTGGCTCAATATTCGCCAATCCCAAACACGCTTGAGACACGCACGCATACACGCACACGCAGGCAATCTTCCGATCTCGTGTGCGTGTGTGTTTCGGGCTGGTGATAATGGAGCCAAGTTACACGCCATTGGGGTTCGTGTTTTAAACGCGGTGCCACCTAAGCTGCCAACACGCTCCTTTTCATGTTGGGACCCATTGATGTGATATGAAGCGTTATCGTCAGAGAATTACATGCCTCTTCTATTGGTGCTGGCACTATTCTTCACCGACAGAAGAAAACTGGTCCCATCAAGGTTATGTTTATGTGAGGCTTATTTTTATGCAAAGGTTATTCTCTTTAAATGGCTGTATTTGCACTGTGTACTGTGTTTGGAATCCTGGGGAGCAAGGAACCCTGTAAATGGATAGAAAGATGTGACCTTATTTACCTGGTGGGGTGTTCACTGTGCTTTCTGTGGAGCTTTCTGTGATGTCTTGACTGAATCCAACCCTCAGTAATCTCACAAATCACTCTGGACAGAGCATTGGCGCTGGGCGAATCTGCTTCAGTCCAGATCACCACCTTTGGTTCGGCAAACCCCAAATAATAAATAATAAATAATAATATATGCACTATTATAACAAAAGCACTTCACAGGATATACTGTAAAGCGCAGTGATTATGTATTTTGTAGGTGAACACAGCAGCCAATTTGCTCACAGCAACAGCCCGCAAACAGCCATGAAGTGAGTGACTGATTTTATTTGGGAGATTTTTGGCCAAGGCCCCGGGAGAGAGAATCTCCCTTCTCTTTTCGAATAGCGCCGCAGAATCTTTAATCTGTTTGGCCCGCCCAAACAGGTAGACAGGACCTTGGTTTAATGTCTCATCTGAAGAATGACACCTTTGACAATGCAATGCTCCCACCCAGCACTGGGCTGGATTGTCAGCCTAGACAAATGTGATCAAAGTCTGATCAAACTCCCAAACTTGGTGCTTGGACCTAACTTGACCCAGTGCTAACGACTGAGCCAGGCTGGCGCGTAAATAGAAAATGAATGAATTAGATATCACAGTCACGGTGCATATGTGCCTACATCTCAGCCATGTTTGGGCAAGGTGAGGAAACATTGCAGCCAAGTTGCGTGCTGCAAATTTAGCTCCAAACTAATTCCAGGACCAAATATTACACGTGTGACATACGCACAACTGGCTGCAGCTAGCTTTACAAACTTTAGAAGTTCCGAGTAACTTTTAGCCTCCTGTTACCCCTGTGCCCTCTGTTCCGTTTACACTACCAGCTTTCTCAGTGTGAAAGTGGTGGGCTGGTTCCTTGCCAACCCTTGCAGTTCCTCGAATTCCCGATCTTTGGCTTCCTTTTGCTTGCTCGCATTGGTATCAAGTGAACAGGACTGGAGCGTAGCCAAACCATGTATAGCAGGGCAGTGCCCGAGCCAGAGGGAGATGCTATCACGTTGGGCAGATGAGGAAGGAAAGAGGGAAGGAAGGGAGAAAGAGAGAGAGGAAGGGAGGGATGGATGGATGGAGGGAGAGAGGGAACTAATATTTTTATAGCAGCTATAATTTTTTTACAATAATTGTCTAGTGTAGTGACAGTTTTACCTTCACCAAGCTGTGCCAGTCATTCTGCACACGGCAACGTCCCACAAACAGCCACAAGGTGAACAACCAGATATATCTGAGAAATTGTTGGCCAGGACACCAGGAGAGATTCTCTTCTCTTTTTCCGAATTGCGGCACAGTATCTACAAAAGACGTCACCTCTGATGTCTTTGGAAAATCTAGTGTTCCACATGCCAGTCTGGTGGTGGTGGAGGAGTGGGGGGGGGAGGAGGTAAAACCCACATACAACCTCCTGGCTCAGAAGCAAAAGTGCTACCAACTGAGCCAGGCTCAGACTCACATGGTTCTGATTGATCAATGCAGTGTGTAGGGCCAGGTTAGGGCAGCAATTTGTGTACTGTGTGTAAATTGTTCATTTCTAATTCATATGATTTCAGTGTCCAGTTTAGGAAACCCGCTACCATCTGGACATCTCAAGTACGAACTTCCACCCGGGCTGCTTTATAATAATAATAATCCTTGCACTTGATATAGCGCTTTTCACGTCTTCTCGACGTCTCAAAGCCCTTCACAGAATATGCTGTAAAGTGAATTGATTGTACATTTGTGGGCTTTCCCTGCCCACTCTCCCCGTCATCCCCTCTTCAGATCAATGTTTCATTAAAAATCAATAAATTGAATTTAATCTCACTTACCCAATAGTTTTAGACGAGCAAGGCTGAGCCACTCTAAACGTTCACCTTCTCTCAGCTTCCCTTTCGTCTCACCAGCTAGGGTTTGAAGCTCGACTCAGTGGCAAGCTTCTCAGAGGCTGTGAGACTGGCCGTGTCTCAGCAGAGACGAGAGTGAGAGCTTCCTGACAATTCGGGTTACAGCAGGTTTAATCTGAGATGTGCAGGCTTGATACTGCTGCCAGCGGTTTGTCAACTTCATTACTTCACAGATGTCATCTTTAAGAGATTTTGTGTTCGCCTACAACACACACGATTGATACACTCTCCAATAAATGGTAACAGGATGGACTGGCTAGGTTGGGCCTTTTTTTTTGCGAGAGAAGAGATGTTTAAGGGTGGAGGGGGGGCGGGAACCTCATAGAAGAGTTTAACATTGTAAAAGGGTTTGATAAAGTTACCCCCCCACCCACACCCCCCAAAAAATAGGCTGTTTCCACTGGTTGCGTGGGTCCATAACCCACTCTTTCATATCAATCTGATCAGAAGCCTTGAAACCCTGGGGCCAATTCACTGTGCAGAAATCGAGGGAAAGAGGGAGGGAGAGAGGTAGGGAGGAAGAGGAAGGAATGGAGGGATGACTGGTTTGTGTGTGGCACTGAGGTCCCGGTAAGTTCCCAGGCCCATTGTTGGGAACGGATGGACTGGAGAAAATGCATAACAGATTCAATGCAATAAAATCTCACGTCATGAACCCTTTGCATTCACATATGCCTCCCCATCCCCATCCCGTCGTAGGCTCCTTTAACTGTTTATTTGCCCTAAGGAATTCTCACAGGTTCGGTGTACCAACCCTTTCCCCCGCCTCACTACCCGCCACCCACCACTACCCTCTCAGCCAAGGTGACATCTCTCATGTGTTGCATTTTGTTGGATCATAAATAGCACCACTGTGACTGACAGGCCAGACATCGGATCCAGTCACCTCCCATCCCCCTCCTGCCCCCTCCACCCCCCCACCACACACAGACACACACCCGCCTCTGACCGTGCCTGGGATAACTGGATCGCACGTGCAGGCTCCTGTGCTTTTGTTGTCACCGTACTCAACAGCTGACCTTTGCAGCCCAAACCCTCTCAGTTTATTAAACAGCACAGACATCCTGTAACAAATAATACTACTCCTTGAATTTGACTGAAACGTCTGAAAGCACTTCACAGAAAATACTGTAAAGTGGATTGACTGTGTATTTTGCGGGCGAAACGTGGCAGCCAATTGCGCACAGCGGTGTCCCACAAACAGTCGATTGAGAAACATTTTATCTCTCTAGGCTTAGTATCCACCGGATGCTCAGAGCGAGACAGTAGTTGAACCCATTGTTGACGCACTACCCTGAGATCAACAGGGACTATGGTCAGAAAGGCTGCCTGGGTATATTTCATAGAGAGAGAGAGGTGAGCACACAGCCTGGCTGACATTCTCGCTGCACCACGTGCGTTGCTGAGCGCAGTTGGGGTTTGGCTGATGTGTTGTGGCGGAGGCGAGTTTCCAGAGTGACCAAAGTGTCCACCAGCGATAACCTCAGCTTCCAGCATCTGTCAACACATCGTCAACTGGAACTGGCGAACAGACTGTTGATATGTTAGCTTTCTCAGCACGGGGAGCAATGCCTCCTCTGATTGACCTCTACCTCTAATCAATTGACTGCTTTGTCGCAGCACTTGCCATTGGAATTGATGGGGCAACCATGGCTGCCTTGAATGTTGACTGAAACGGCCTTTGAAGCAGGAGCCACACTGGTTAGCCTGTGCAGCGAAAGGCAAGAGTCAGCCCAGCCGGCAATTAGACAAAGCACCTGTAATTAAACGAGACTCCAGAGAGAGACAATCCTGCCAATATTAATGACAGCGACTGCCTGGAGGCAGAGGCCGGGCATTGACATCGCCTACTCGGCAGTCTTGAGGAGACGCTCGTTTGTCTAGCTTTACGGCAACTCCGTGCAGACAGGGCTAAAGAGGGAGGGAAAGAAGGGAGGCTGAGCGCTGTAGCTGTGCTGGAAGAGGGGAAGCTAACGCTCCCGAGATAGAGCCACAACATTTCGCCTGGTGGGATTGTTTGCTCGCTCCTCGTGGTTAGCAGGAGATCTGAAACAAAACAGTCTTTTTGTTCTCATCACCCAAGACCCCAAATTCTACTCGGCCTTATCCTTAGGGACCTTAAGAAGATGTAGAGTTTTGGAATTGGATTTGGTTCTTTTTAAGACGGCTTCTAAATCGAGACTGAGTTTAGGCAATTTGTTTCATAACTCCGCACAAGAAACTTGAATTTTAAGATAAAGTTAATTTCAAGGTGCTCTGGGACGTTACCCAGCATGACAGGCTCTATATAAATGCAAGTTGTTGTTAAATTTTAAGGCTAAGTGCAGGCGCGATGGCGAGTCTCCAGATGGCAATAATATTTAAATAATCCTTGGATTTGATACAGCGCCTTTCTCATCAGGAGGA